ATTAAGTAAAAATTAAGGTCCTTAATTGAAGTGGAAATGGAGAAAATGAAATTATCCTTTGTGAAAGGTCCCAGGATATTGTTAGCCGAATTTCGTAAATGGCCAATGTGGGTCGATATTTGACGATCGCAAGGACTCCAGCACGGTTTGTTTACCTCAGTGAACTGATTGGAGCTCTTCGGGAATACGAAATAACAGTCTGCGTCAGTCGGGATGCACGTCTGCAACGGAGTGTTTGTGCTTGAATGATTTGATCAAGGTTCCGGCGAGTAAGCACAGCTGATCCCAGTTGACAGGCTTGTATGTCGCGTAAGTCCTTGTTCCGTTTTGTCGTTATGACGTTATCCCTTCCAATTTCAGGCTTATTGCATAAATTTGTAGAATTGCAGGATAGAATGTATTTCCTTGCCAAGAAAGATGTCAAAGATGATATAGATACACAAAACCTTTTTTAATTGTATTTGAAATCGGTGAAACACAAATCAAAAGGAGTTTTAGCAGTTGCAGATCAGTATTAAGTTAAATTTAATTAAAAAATTTGTGCTCATCAAGTTAATGAGAAATTCAACTTTTTCTGACACTCACTTCACGCTGTAGTGTCAACATTGGTATTTTCAAAATTGTTTATTGCATTATTTTGGTCTCATTTTGTGCTAATTTGTTCTAATAATTTAAAATTCTGTGCGAGTTACGGTTAACTGGGTGTTGTCCGACCCGAAAAGGTACGGTTACAGATTCGCCACTGGAATATCTGCACTAAAGGTAACTCTGCTTCTTGGTTATAGCCTCTCCCCCGGCGTTCCGATATCTCCATCCTTTGATCTCGTTTCATGTATCTCTCTTCCTTATTGTTATCCTCTACCTGGCCCCCTTTCTGTTTCCCCTCACGAATGTTAAAAAAAATAGCCTCTACAATGGCCAAGAAATGAGACATACCATACCCTTCAGTCTCGTGCTGGGTAAATGGCCGGAGTCAGTTCAGTCTGATCAGTGTACCGCGGGTACCAGAAAAATTGTTTATGCTGTGGGTATCGAAGATGGAGCAGGGGTATGTTTAAATTAAATGTTTTTCCTTATTGAAAACAATTTATTTATATTTTTACATAATTTAATAATATTACTGTACTTCCCACATAGCATTCGATATCTTATGTATATACATTTTAAATCCATAATGTACAGGGAATATCCTGTCCATCTTATGTATATACTATGTATATTCATTATAGGATATGCATATGTATTTTATGTTCAGTATGGATATTCTATAAATATACATTTTGGATGTGCTATGTATATACATGGGATTATATGTTATGTATATGCGTTTTGCATTTGATACATGCGTGTTCTGTATTACCGACGTTACAAACGTTAGCGTCTCATTTGCTGTGAATTACGGCGATGAAGATAGTAAGGTGCTATTGCAAATACAGCTCATTTTTCTAAAATCAGGAGTGTTATTCTGCGAGTTATTAATGAGTTTGTTTGTCTAATTTTGACAGTGAAAGTAATGATTTTTATTTCGTGTGTGCATGATCTAAAGTTGCAAATATGTGTTAGTGAGATGTAAAGACTGGATGGGAATTAATATAAGGACAAGAATGGCAGGTATGTTAGCAACCTATTTGTTATGAACTCGCGCTATTATAGTGTTGAACAAGAACACGATCAAAATGACTCAAGACTACAGTGTTAAATAAAACAATAATAATTTCTTAAGCACATTTTCCATTGTATACTAAGAGACTTAATAAACAAAAAGCTCCACTCCGTGAAAAGAATTTATTTATGAAGGTATAGACCAGAGCTGGGCAGAATACTTTCAAAAAGTATTTGAATACTAAATAGTAAATACTTTACACAAATCAAAGGTATTTGAATAGCTAAATACTTTTACGTCCAGCACAAGCGAATACTAGATACAGATACATTGAAAAGTATTCAAATACTTTAAAAAATAAGTATTCAAATACTTTAGAATGTATTCGAATACTATAAAAAGTATTCGAATACTTTGAAAAGTATTTCATTAACTTACTTTGAAAAGTATTCGAATACAGTAAAAAGTATTCAAATACTTGTGACTCAAATACATTAAAAATGTAAAATAGTATACTAGATAAAAGTCTTAATAGTACTTAAAAAATCAAGTTATACTTTGTATGGGGTTAGCTTTTTTTATATTTCTATTGTTATATACAAATTTAAGGGGAGTAAAAGTAATAATTTCAAACAGTTCCAAGATTGGGCTACTAGTTCAAAAGTTACAGCCCTTTGAATTTTCTTTCGAAATTGGTTTCTAGTCTATAACTTTTGATTGAGAAGTCTGATCGAAAAAGTACGAATTGATTTGGATTCTACGCACCAAAATTAATATGAAAAAGTGTTTTCCCGAGAAATTTTGGTGTAGTCGATTTTTGGTAAAAAAGGAAGGTTATACACTGCCTTTTTTGAGGCCCGAAAAAAAAATTGTCTCAGAACGACCCGGAAAAAAAATTTTCTTATAGAATGTGGCCTGTAGAATCCATAATTTCAAACAGTTCCAAGATTGGGCTACTAGTTCAAAAGTTACAGCCCTTTGAATTTTCTTTCGAAATTGACTAAATATTTGTGAAAGTATTTGAGTTACAAATACAAATATGCTTCCATAAAAGTATTTAATTACAAAGTATTTGAATACTTTAAAGAATTTGAATACTAAAAAGTATTTACAAAATCGAATACTGCCCAGCTCTGGTATGGACGCTAGTAAACTTCCCGAATGTTAGAGGAATCTCTATAGAACATCCATTCTGAATGTATACAACATACATAGAATATCCTATTGAACATCTTTTGCATATTACAGGAATATTCATGATATATCCAGTTGTCAGTATACCAATATACATAGCATGTCTGATGCATATACATGCATATACATAAGACATCCAAAACGTATATACTATGTATTATGTGAAGTCTGCCAAACTTATATCCCATGCACATACATCGGACATTTGCGACATACTTTTCCACATTCTATGGATATACAATATCCCACGTGGAATGTACATGGTATATGCAATGTATATATAATAGGTCTGCTATGTGGGTTATATATTTGTTGGGAAAATTAGACTAGTAAGTTAAGTACAAGTTCCAAGATCAGCAATCATCAACCAAACTTCTAGATACCTTAACACACAATTTTAGTCATCAAGTCTTCTCGTGTGTGCTCGTGTAATGCGGTGTTGCCGACATTTCTTAGAAACCACTGTAAGCGGTCTACAAATCATTATCGCCCGGTTCAAAGTCCTTTTAAATGGTAAGAAAGTGCACCCTTGGTACTATCCAGGAAAAGGTGCCTAAAATAGACACCATGAATACGTTGGCGTTACAGCAGCAGGAGGTGGATCAACAGATGAAGAAACTTGTGACAAATACGAAAAAAGGGCCCAACAAACAGGAAGACCACAAGATATATCACTTCAAAACGGGAACAGCTGGACGTATTTATCAAGAAAGTCCAGCAGAGGTGCCAAAAAATAAGCGAGTCAGATATTAAAGACCACCAATACCACCAGGATAACTACATGGGGCAAGTCCAGGTGTACATTGTACAACCAGACTGTCGAACTCCTTGACCGCGTCCAATAAAAAAGTTAAGATGGCTGTAAATTAATATTTTAACAGCCTTCCAGACTGTCACTTCCGGGAAGTAATACTGAAGTTGGAAAAACGCTGGACTAAGTGGGTTGGAGTCAAGGGAGATTATGTAGAAAAATAAATTTTTTTAACTGAAAATCACAGTCCTTCATTGTCAGGCCGAGAACTATTGACCTTGCACTCGTATAGTAACGTTCAAAAGACAGACTTTCCAAGGAAACAGTGATGCTTTAAAGGTTATAGTTGTAATAGTTTTGAATACCTATAGTCTCAACATCAGAACCGCGGTGTTAATATAGAACACTCATAAAATTCCATAAATTTTTAATAATGGAAGTTTAAGCCGCTGCTTCATCTCCTACTTACCACAAAACCACTAAAGATACGCGATAGCAAACTTCCAAGTTTATGGAAACTCCCCACTCCCAAATAAAAAAAAGCTGTTTGCGAATTCATTTAACTCATAACATATTTACGTGCATCTTAACATTTTTGAAATATTTATAACTTTCTACTTAACTCGTAAAATGAATGTTTAGCCTTTATGAACTTATAAAATATTTACGACGTATCGAGTGGCGAATGCCGATATCGGGAGTTATCTTTAAGTGAAGATTTAAAATCGAAAACGTTTGCTTTCTCGTCCTAATTAGTTTCGGAACTATTTGCTTCGTCCTAAAAATAACCAAGCAAATTAAATTCCTCGCCTGGTAATATATTTTAGTACAACCGCATTAAAACAGCAATAATCGCCGCAGTTTGCGGGAAAGCCGCCATTGGCTTTCGGGATCAATCAACTATTTCAGGTATTTCAATTGACTTTGGGCAACCGCGAAAATTTATTTTAAACCAAGAATACCATTTTTACGCTCAAAATTAAATTCCTGTGTTAATCAAACGGCAGTTCATGAACGCCGCCGCGTACAATTATAAGATGGCGAAACAAATTTGAAATACGAGGCCACAAATAACAATCTGAATTCCTAAGCTAACTCCCTTCAAAGTGGAGCTTTTGTTTAAATTCTGAAACTTTTGTTACGCCACAACAGGAAAAGAAAGTTTCCGATGGTTGAAGTAGGTTGAGTGATTAAATGCAGTTAGATTTGTTTTGTAGAAAGTACCGCTTCAAACTTCTTTTCGCAAAGATCGAAGCGGAATTTATTTTCGCTATAAATTCACTAAGGTGATTATTTCTGGTGCGGGCTATTTCGATGACGCGTTAGTAGTTGCAACCGAGCTTCATTGAAATATTAATCTGGTTGTAACGGTGTAGCTTTGTAATGTAATCGTCTATGGATTTAATTACGCATATATGAATCCTAATATAATAACAACATAGCATTTCATACCTCCATGTTTACTTCTGTGAAGAGGACAGAAACACTTTTAATAAAAGTATTCGAATTCAGGTTCATATGACACGCATACCGGTTTTATTAGAGCAACAGTCAATCAACTAGGTACCGATTATAAACTTTTTGAAATATCTACAAAGAGAGTTAACACTGCATTAAAGTAACAACCCCACCATGGGATGCACCTTGTCGTGGTGGTGGGGACTAGTAATCACTATTTTCTACTATATTTTTACTAAACTGATCACGTGTAATAATTACCATGCTTTTTTAATTGTACCGATTGGAATCGTTAATGACTAATCTGCTCATATCAAGACAGTGACCTAATGCTGAGTTACAAGTGTAACCCCATAGAAATTACCGTTACATGAAGTGGGAACGGGACTTTCTCTTCCACAAAATAATTGTGGAAATTCTTGTAAATTTTCCATAAGTAGATTTATGACAAGTTCCAACAAAGGAACATAAGAATGACAAGAGATGGTTTCAATACGAGAACAATGCAGCATTATAATACTGAAGCTGTGTGCGCAGGGATCTTTGTTACAGAATTGCAAGGACCTACTTATTGTTTTCGTTAGTTGTTACTTGATAGAGTAAATTTTCCTTGCAATCCAAATATATTCAAATTACATTAAAATACTCTCCGCATGACACACAAAAAAGTAGCTACCTACTACGACTTTATCCTTAAATTATAGTTATCGGGCCACGTCTATGAATTATTTAATTACAAATGTTTAGATTAAAGCAATTTACATACGCAATTACCGTATATCACACGCTTGCTTAAATTGTACCTGTGTATACGTAATACTGTTCGAATTAACCCAATGACAACACAATTACCATTTATTAATATTTATTAATTTTGATATTTTGTTAATTCACCCGAAGCTCGCCCATTAGTAACTTGTACTAAATTTAACTCGCTCTCTCTAATTTTTAATTAAATATGAAACGTAATGGGAAAGTGGAACTCGTGTAAATAGCCGATATACTTGTTTACTGCGTTCTAACAGAGAGCAATTAAGTTATCTCGACTGTGAGGTTATGTAAACTACTTTAATGGGTAACTTGAAAGTGCAAAACATTAGTGCACGTGACAAATTTATCTTGGGACTTAAAGGATCGCATTGCGATAAAACGAAAGTGGAAAACAACTTAGATTGATCCCCTTCTGAGTAAAAACATTAAGTTTATTTTAAACTTTGTGCACCACCTGCGAAACTTTTACAGAATCTTGCATTTTTCGGTTTAGTTGATCCAATAGTTCAGAAATTCAAAAACGATTTCCGTGGAGAAATTGGTTGTACGACACATTGTAATACTCTTCGTGTATACATTTGAAAGTTCCATAGCTTTACTTGTTTTATAAATGTAGAAAAGGAAAAGCACAAATTCACATTATTAAACGAAACATCGCTGGTCCCTGAAGTCTGTGGTTTATTTCGCATACGAAATTGAATCGGTCTCCTCTGTCAAATGGATCTTTCTTAGATTATTTGGATAACTGTCGCGTCGGATGTCCCAAAACTCCCGCGAAGTTGGAAATTTTTCAGACACTGAATCGCTGGTGGTTTTTTGATGGTCTACTCTACTATGTAGCCAAGAAAATGTACACTAGTTTAATAGTGTAGATCACTTTAATGTTTTCCTAGTGTTTCAAAATGTTATATTTCTTTTAATTCTTAACGTTCATTCGACGCTCTCCAACTGATTTTTACCTGCAACCCTTTTGAATAGCAACCACATTCGCCCAGCCTTTGCTCAAAAATATAATATTCGGCCATCCTACGAATAAAGCGAAAATCCTAATTAACCAAAAATAAATATATTTAAATAACTTAATTCTGAAGATACTGAGGTGGGCAACGATTGAGTTTTTCTCGTTCTTCGTCCTCATTTTCCTCTTCAGACTGGCTCATTCTCCAATCGCCGTCTACTATGATATTTTCTTTAAGAGTTCTGCCGAGGAAAATTATAAAAAAAGGTTTGTAGTGTTTTGTGTTTGGTTCTTTTTGTCCTAGGAATCAGTGCCCACAGCATTATTTATTTTGCTCGCCCAACGTGGGGCATTACATTCATATTTTTTGTGTGGCCCGAAATTTAAGGGTCACAGCAATATAATTATAATTAATATAAATAATTCAATAAATTTATATATTTAATGCATTATTATACTTGTCTCCCCTCTGAAAGGCTTGTTTTCGCAGTGATCTGTTAAATTATTTGTTGGAAACGCTTTAGAATTGGGCGTAACGGGGCGTAATGTAAGTAATACAGTCTTACCTACATGACCCATTTGTTAGAAGTATAATCTTCCATTTCCTAAATGAGAACTTAAATCTTGGGTTGGTGTTTCTCACTTACTTATTCATTTAATAATATTACAAACACATATTGTGGGTATTTAGCGTAGAAACACTGGTATGAATATTTAATATTTGAAAACTTTTGTCTTGAACAAAACGTATTTCCGCTAAAGTTGATGTGAAATATTAACGTAGCGTTCTCAACTACGCCATTAATGAATAATGAATATCTTCAGCATTTGTTTATGGAAAATGCTGCGTCTCCATATTTTCGCTATTTATCTGTTTCAGAAATTTTAATACCCTTTAAGGTTTTGATTGTAACTTTTTTTTATTCCGTGCGGCATTTTCGAAATGCGACTAATTTGTTGAGCGTAAACGCTCATTGTAAGCTCAACGACATGGCTTACATTTATTTTTATTGTTTCAAAGTTAAGATTGTACCTTTTTTTCTTTTATTGCACGTGCTTGTAACGGTCCTTTGGAAACACTCGAGGTGTACTTATAAACAATGTTATAACCGCCGCGCCTACGAAAGAACAATGTAAAACTTTCTCCTCTCTGAATTTTCATTATCCCCAAGATTTACGCTAATGATTGCAGTCGCTTGCTTTATCGTCGTAGCGTTGAAGTTCTGGTTAGCATCGGAAGTCGTTCATTCGCGAATAATCGCAACTATAACAAATTTCGGTAAGTTTTGTTGTATTATGTACTATCAACTGTTGTAGAACCGGAAACCGTACAAACTGCGCAGCGATGAATTGTAACTGCAGCAACCCCTAGCATCCGTATGCGTTATACGAACATGTCGCGTATAAGGAGCTTTACAATACTCTCAATTGTGGTTTTCCTTTGCTTAGATTAAATTTACCGCTCTATATGTTTATTGTTATGACATTCACTTGTGACATTCCTTGCAACTCAAAAGATCCCTATTAATAGATCAAATGCAAGGGATGAGTGAAGGTTAAACAAATTGAAGTGATAAGGAGACCTTTTTGTTAGCACATGTTTTATAGGTAGGTTTCGAAGATCTGTAGTTAGGATTGCTCTCAATGCCAATTTTCAAGGTCACATTTTGTGGAAATTCTGGCAGAAGCTGGGAATTATTATACGAATCAGAGGTATCCATGATGTGATGAAACTAAACATGGGGTTGTGCAGAATTAAAGTCGTTAAATTAAACACAAAACACAAAACCTTCCCCATTCTAATTTTTTTTTCATTTATTAGTATAGGGAAGGTTTTGTGTTTAATTTAACGACTTTATGGAATTTATCACCTTAGCTCTTCCTTGATTTATAGCGCGGGAATTAAGCAAACGAGTTAACGATTAAAGATGGCTGTTTACGCTAATGAATCATCATTTCGTAGGCGTCAATGAGTTAAAAAAAATGAAGAGAGTGATAGTAGGAAAACATTTTTGAGGCATTCGTTAGCGGTACACGAAAGTATCAACCGGCCACAACTAAGTTTTGGATTCATTCGGTACAGAAGTGCCGAGATAGTCCCCGTAGAATTTTGAGTAAAAATGTAATTTCGAGATTAAGTGCGATAAAGTTTCGTGTGCCAAGGGTGTGCTAAAAAACGTGGGGTGGAATTTATATTCGAATTTGTGTTTTTGTCACGCGGGAAAAGTAAAGTATTAATTTAAAAAAAAGAAATACAACTTTCGAGAAAGCGAGAATAAGTTCAGAGACTCGGCCCTCATCGACCTGAAAACGTCTGTACCTAGGGAGTGCCACCCATACGATACAATACGATATTGGTAACATGGGAAAGCAGCTTAAACATCCGCATTTTAAAGAATCGTACGTAAGAACCAAGCGAATTTGAAATGTCTAAAAATTAAGGGTAAAATTCTAGAGGATTAGAACAAATGGAATAGTTTGCTCAATCTCCCTCTAAGAAGGGTCTGTAAAATTAAAAGCCTAAAGAATTAAAAAAAACAACGAATCTGAAAAAATCTTTTTTTTTTAAGTAAAAGAGGTTTTCATTATTTAAACAATGCCTGACAGAACAGTGACAGATACTGCACTATCAGACGTTGACTCATCCCAATAATATTCGCCCTGCGCCTGCACTAGCTTCGTGGAGAAGGACAATGGTGCGCGTAGACTGAATCTTATTTTACGAATCGCAGTACGCTTCCGTCTAAATTGTTTTCCTGAAATTCTGAATGCGATTTGGAAAATCAGCGATTCGGATAGTCGGAGTTTGGATAATTGGAATATGAACAAAAATTATTCCTTTCGTTGGTGTGCTTACTCCTCTGAAATTTACCTTCATAATCCTTGATCCCCTTTACTGCTTGCTACTAAAAGAAACACTGAATGGCCATACAACTGCATATTGAGAATAATGGCCAATTGCACCGTCAAAATTAAGTAGCGCTTAAAGTTAAGCATAACTTAAATGCCATAGCAACAATTGTCTTAATAATCGTTGCCATAGATTTTAAGCTCGACTTAACTTTAAGCAAGGCTTAATTTTGTTGGTGCCACTGGACATAAATTTTTAAGATTCCCATGTGCGCATTCCTTGTAAGAATATGTAAAATTGCTATGAATGAAATATACCTAACTTAAATCACAAATTTTGAAAATACATATACAGTGTGTCCCTCGATTATTTGGTCGCTACCTATCAAATACAATAAAATTTGAATAGAATTTTGAGCTTCTGAGGACCAACCCTGCCTGGATGAAAACTACCTAATTTATGACATAATTTTAGTTTAGAAAACACAAGGGTGTCTTTGAAATGTTCAAAAAACCCTTTGGGAACAGGATACGAATAAATGTTATTAAGAA